CGGAGCCTTAGCGGCGACACTGTTGTCCTGGGCAGAGGTGAACTTGGCGTCCCTGTCTGCGATGCACTTAAAAGGGGAGCTGAACCAGAAGGCAGACTTCCTGAGCAGGACTCGGCACAGGGAGTCGGAATGGGCCTTGAACCCCAATGTCTTTCAGGAGATTGTGCGGAGGTGGGGATCCCCGGATGTGGACCTTTTTGCCTCCGGGAGGAACAACAACCTCCCAAATTTCTTCTCTCTATCCCGCTGGGACGGGTCCAGAGCGGTGGACGCATTAGGTCAGAGGTGGGACTACCGGCTTTGTTACGCCTTCCCCCCGGTTCCCTTGCTCCCCCTGGTCCTGAGGAAATTCAGGACAGAGGGGACCTCGTTAATCCTGATAGCTCCCTTCTGGCCGCGGCGGGCGTGGTTTGCGACCCTAAAAAGTTTGGCCTCTCGTCCACCCTGGGAGCTGCCACCAAGAGAGGATTTGTTAACACAGGGGCCGGTTCTTTGCCCCAGCGTGGGAAGATTACGGTTAACGGCCTGGTTTCTGAGCAGCAGCTCTCTTCTTAGAGAGGGGTTCTCACCTAAGGTAGTGGCGACATTACTGGCCAGTAGGAAGGAGGAGACCCAGGCCATTTATGGTAGGGTCTGGGGTTGCTTTACAGCCTGGTGTGACCGGACGGCAGTGGCAACCCATAGTTTGGTTTCCGTGTTGGAATTCCTGCAGGCGGGAGCGGACAAGGGATTGTCTGTCAGCACGCTCAAGGGCCAGGTCTCGGCCCTCAGTGTGTTCCTAGAGACGCCCCTGGCCAGGGAGGAGTTAGTGAGTAGGTTTTTCAAAGCTCTGGTGAGGCAGAGGCCTCCGAGGTCCAGACCGTTTCCGGTGTGGGATTTGGCCAAGGTGCTCGGGGGGGATGACTAGGGCTCCGTTCGAGCCCCTGGAGTCCTGCCCGATAAGTGAGCTCACCATTAAAACGGCTTTTCTGGTGGCGATTACCACGGCGAGGAGGGTGTGCGAGATGGAGGCTCTCTCGATCAGAACACCTTATCTCCGTATTTTTTCGGACAGAATCGTTTTCAGACCGGACCCGTCCTTCATTCCGAAGGTAGCTCGGAGTTTCCAGAGGGAACAGGACATTGTCCTTCCCTCGTTTTTTCCTGACCCGGTGGGGGTAGATCAGGAGAGGTATCATTGTTTGGATGTAAGAAGGTGCGTTCTCCAGTATCTAGAGAAATCTAGGGAGTTCAGAAGCACCGAATCCCTTTTTGTTTTTTTTAAGGGGGCTAGAAGAGGCAAGAAGGCGTCTAGAAGGACGCTGGCCAGCTGGCTGCGGCTGGCGATTGCAGGAGCATATCAGGCGGAAGGCCTGGAGGTCCCGGAGGGTATCAAGGCACATTCCACCCGAGCGGTGGCGGCTACCCAGGCAGAGCTAGCAGGGGTTTCCCCAGGGCAGATTTGCAGAGCGGCAACATGGTCCAGCTATGACACATTTGCCAAGCATTACAGACTGGACCTGGTCTCGGTGCAGGAGCAGGACTTTGGTCGTAAGGTCTTGCAAGCAGTTAGCCCGCCCGAGGAGTGAGTACTCGCTTATCCTCTCAGAGTGCTGGCCTGAAAGACGGTAGGGGAAAAATCAAGTTACACTTACGGTAACGTCTTTTCCAGGAGTCTTTCAGGCCAGCACCGGTTTCCCACCCGTGTTGATATTGGTTATGTGAAGATGGCTTATTATGATTATGTTGTCTCGCATTGTGTCTCCCCAGGTGACCGGAGGATGCTTGGAGAACTGAGGTCAGAGGGGAGTGGAGCTTTTTTATTGTAGGTGGAGGTGTTTCCTCAGATGGGGAGGAGCCGAGGTCTCTCAGAGTGCTGGCCTGAAAGACTCCTGGAAAAGACGTTACCGTAAGTGTAACTTGATTTTTTTTTCTGAACTCTCAGACAAGCTTTATAAGTTGAGCACTTTTGAATGGATGTAGATAGACAAGTACAACTTATGTAATGGAATTTGTTTCATCTCTGTTTTTCACATGAGGCCAGTCACTTCACTGGGTATATTTTAAGGGTTTACAACCACTTTAAATCCCAGCATGTAATACACCTGAAGAACCTCGCTGCTACCTGTTCCCCCATAGTGTGACCCTCCCACCTGTTAGCTGATTGGTGAACATGCTGAGAAGATTTAACCACACTGAACTGAAGAGTAAGGCTGGCCATACACTTTACAATTTTCTGTCCAATTTCTGCTCAATTTCCTGTAGATTTACCTTCAACTATGTAGTGCAAGGGCCTGCCTAATTGGATACAATTGAAAGTGTTGTTAGGTTTGACCTCCTATTATATGGTTTTTGGTAAATCTAAACCAAAAATCTCAAGAAAATTGTATAGTGTATGGCCAGCCTAACACATCCATCTCTGGCATTAAACACTTGGGTGAAGCTGGCAATGCCAATAAGCAAACAAGATTTTATTAATGTTTTTAGAGTTTTAACCAGTTGCTTCCCCTCTGGTCATCCCACCTACCTTTTTAGCCATTTGGTTAGCTTGGTTTACCCATATGCATTGAATGCTGGGACTTGTATAGCACAGGAAAGTACTTTCTGTGTACTTGTTCCTCCAAAGGACACTGGATGGTCAGTTAGTGATGTTAGTAGCCACCATTTTAGTTGCGTTAAGGAAGAGTTAGTGTTACTAAACCCACAACAGTAAAATCAGTCCGTATATGCGGTAAAGCATGCTTGTTATCCTCACTGAGGAACCCAAGGGGTTAACTCTGCATTGTGTAAAAAGGCTGTTTTGATCCTGTCTTCTTTGATCCTCCCATTCTTCCACAGTCCCCAATCCATCTGCTGATATAACAGAGCCTTGGGGGCAAGCTGTGCATGGAGTTGTGTTTTTTTTTTTTTTTTTTTTGGGGGGGGGGGGGGGGGGGAAGAGTCCATGTGATCAGCACAGGGCCAATCAGCACTGTCCAGACAGAGGGTCATGGGTCCTGCAGCCTCATAGGACATTCAGGGTAGAATGAAAACTCCTCCTACAAGCTTTAACCAGTGCATTGCTGGACACTGATAGAAGTTAAAAGACTGCTCTGACTGCTGATTAGAAAACATATTTAGCAGTTTGTTTACTAAAACATTTACATTTCTATGTTGTGTGTAATGTGGGAGACCAGATATAGTGAATGCAGGGCCCTGGGGTTAGTAACACTTTAAGTAGATTGTAGGAAGTCTTAAAGTGAGCCTTTAGAACCACTTTAATTTATGTGAAAACAAGTTTTAGCATTTATATTCCCGTTGTAATAAGTGTGCTAGGCTCATCACAAAATACATTTTATAAAATAAATGTGTGCTTGTCCTTTAAAGTCTTTTATTATGGTGTAGTATTAGTTAGGTTCATGATTGTGAACTACAATATATGTTCTTTACTGGTGCAAGGATTTAATGGTTTGCATGATAGTTTGACATCCACACTGGTATGTAATAATTGGCAGACCATTTACACATCATTCATGTGACTGTTATTTCCTCAATCCTTCTGTTTTATGGCATGCTTAACTGTTAATTATTACCATCAATTGACCACTTGGCCTTCCAAGCACAAAGCACTGGGTTTTTCTTTTATTACATTAAATAGACTGTGCAACACTAATGACAAATGTGCATGTTAAGAATTATTTGATAATCAATAACAAAGACCGTTTGGAAAGGAAGTAACCCATGACATCCAGCTTTAAACTGGAACTAAGTTTTTTCATTTTTTTTTTTTTTTTGAGTGAAGAAGAGTTAGATCCCTATCTGCCTTTTAATGCTTTGTGTACCTGTCCCCTCAATTCCATGGGCATTGTTCCATTCTTAAACCTTTGGAACTTCTGATTATTGCAATACCCTACTAGTCATTGCTGCTTCTTCACTGCTGTAAAACCTCACAGGATCTAGGCGTAGTCCACTGGGTCTGAAAGCTATAACCAAAAAATAGAATACTAAGAAATACTGAGGCTATATTAGTTGACTTTCTATTGCAGATTCTAGTTATCTTGCTGTCCCTGGCTTCATTACTTTGAATCACTGACCTGGTACAAACATCACATGTAGTCAGAGTATGATCCGCATGCTTAATCTGCACACTTGTTGCAAGCTTTCCCACTTTGCATTATCTAGCTAAATAAGCCCAGTTGTGCACTATACATTGAGGTGCTGGCAATGGCATCCAATTAGATTTGACCTTTCATTTTTCTACCAATGGTTTGAAAATGATGGCTAATTGTTTTGTAACCCACACCCCCAACCCATTTCGCTCACCCCCCCCTCCCCCCCCCCCGCCCCCCCCCCCCCCCCCCCCCCCCCCCCCCTTCTCCCTGTCATATTTTGTTGTACACAAAGTAAAGGGTTTTTTCCCATCTAAATTGTTTGGAAATTAGATTTTTTTTTTTTCCTTTTTATCTATCCTTTCCAAACTATTTGGTATCAATACATTTTCACCAGAAGCTGCAATCTTGCTACATGTTTAAACAGTTTACTATATCCGTATACGGTATAATTCATTTGATTTAATTAGTAATTCTTTGTATTATATTTTATCAGATATTTTAAAGGCAAATGCAAGTCAAATTTGGACTTACAGTTCAGCATAGAATGTTTTCTGCAAACACGCCTTTGATTTCTGAAAGCTTCAATCCTCCAAGTGTGCTAGTTATCTAAAGCCCAGGACCACTCTATTTTTATTCAGCTCTAAACTAATTTTGGATTCCAGAAACTAGCCACTCCAGTGATGGAACTGCTGTACATTTTTAAGTTGCCAGAACAGGCTTGCAGGAACTTGTATAAAATTATGGAATATTTGGCTGCACAAGAGTAGCTTGTTCCAGTGAGGGAATGCAATTTAGCAAGATTGCTGTATTCATACTTCTCTCAGAAAGATCATAATCTCTGTCCATATTGTTAAAGTTGATGATAGTATTGATTCTACTTTATATGCACTGTCCAAAGCGGCTTATTTACAGTATTCTTTTTCATATTAGGAGGAGAGAATAAGGAGAGGGGATGACCTCAGACTCCAGATGGCCATTGAAGAAAGCAAGAAGGAGGCTCCAACCAAACCGGAAGAGGTTAGTTCAGTTTACCTTACCATTTCTGCAGGATAATAAACAGAAAGGGGTGCCAACCCCAATTACTATCAGGGAGAACCAGCCCTCCAAAGTGTATTAACATTCTATATGAATCAAATCGCAAACCAAGGGCGCTAGTCCCAGTTCTTTGTATTTGCAAAAAACCACAGTGCATGATTTCAAAATTGTGTATAATCTCACCACACAATCATGTGAATAACATAATTAGTTCAAATGTTCATTCAAGTAAATAGATTATGTGGTGATTATATTAGTATGACTTCTGTCTGCTGTGTACCCGCAACCAGTAATAATTAAAGATGATCCAATATTCCTCCGCTGCATGCGGTAAAATTAGCAACTTGCCAAATGCCCATTGTTGCAAGTATAATATATATCACCAAAGTGATGCCATCAGATTAGAAAGGGTCCAGAAGTCATCACACCTTCTTTGGAGTTTCTTTCTTGTAATAATTGGGATGCCATCACAAATGTACTCGTGAAAGAAAAGAGATTGCTCCCATAGTGTAATAAGTTTATTAAAATGAAAAAGTAATGGTTAAAAAAAATGCACTCATCGGTCAATGTGCCCCAAGGCACTAAAACACAACATTGGATGAATAGCAGACACCAAGCACTGCCGCTCACTGTGTTCGAGATGGATCAGATCCAACCCGCCGGAAATGACGAGCAGTGGTGCTTGGTGTCTGCTATTCATCCAATGTTGTGTTTTAGTGCCTTGGGGCACATTCACATGGGAGTACATTTTTTAACTATTACTTTTTCATTTTAATAAACTTATTACACTATGGGAGCAATCTTTTCATTCCCGAGTTTTTTTTTATGGTGGCATCCCAATTATTACAAGAGAGAAATTCCAAGGAGGTTGATAGTAAGAAATCTAGGGTTATACTATTGCTTTCAGGGCAAATAGACACTAGGCACATAGAAAACTGAAGGCTTGTCCTTTAGAATTTTATAACCCTCATCCACTTTGCATCTCTTCAGTTACATTTAATGACCTTGGGATAGTAGATGTATTTTCCTGAGCTCTGATATTTTCTACCATCAATGGCTACTGGGAGAGTCATGACCAATAATGAAAATCCTGGCAGTCTCACCAGTTAGCCAATGAGTGCAGATTTTCCCAGTTAAGTATACTTGTGTTCTCTCTGCAACAGTCCTGTGGCTGACAAGGATTACCCTCTGTGTTCCAGTTAGCAAAGCACTCAGCTATTCAGGTTAAACCACTATATCTGGGGATTCCTTGTTTAGTTGCCAGAGTTGCATTAGTTTTCTAGTCCCGTTTTGAAATCTTAGTGTTGTGATTGACTAGCAGGCTATGGACTATTCTGAGGCTCTTCCTCTGTAGTGAACATGCCACTTTAAGGGGTTAAAATTCTTCTCTACTACTGGGGTTGCCTATCTACTTTTATGTAGTTTGCAGTTTGGCCACATGGAGGAGCCTCTTGATTCTAGGGCACTTTTCTGTGGCATCAGCGCTGGACTCTTTCTGCCAGAACCATCATTGTACATTTCCTGACTCCCCATTCTTGCTGGACTTGTGATGCAGTGCTTTTGGGGGTTAGTGCGTCTGGGGGCGCACACAGTGCCAAATTACTTTGCTTGCACTAAGAGCAATCAAATCAGTGGTTCATCAACAAGTTGAAAGACACTTCTGCCAACCGAAAAATGTCAAGGTTCTTTTTTGTTTTTTAGTTATGAAACTTGCAGGCAGCATTCAACCCATCTTGGATTTAAAGGTTCTCAATGCCTTTTTACATCTTTAAAAGTTAAAATGGAATCTATTCAGTACCTTTTTTGCTTCCCTTTTATCGTGGACATTTCTTGGTTTCCTAATATCGAGGATGTGTATTTACTGATTTCCATTGTTCCAGGTCATCAGCAATTTTCTTCATTTTGCCTTGGATGACAACCACTATCTGTATGTGGTCCTTTCATTTTGCCCCCAAAAGGTTTTTGCACTAGTTCGTCATTTGTCTTGGATGTATTACAATATTCAGATATCTGAACGATCTGCTCCTGCAAGAGACAACCTTTGACTTTGGACTTCATTGTGTCATGCTACGAATCTTGGAGGACTGTAAACGGATACTGTACTGAGAAGACATCTCTGATTTCATCACATTGCTTGGAGTACTCGAACCTTCTCTTGGATACTTTTCAGGCCAAAGTCTTCTGCCTCGGGAGAAGTTGACAGAACTGCAGAATCGGGTTTGGCAAATTCAGTGTAGACCTTAATATTCCCTACAGAGCTGCAGGTGAAAACTGGAATTTAATGATGTCCACCTCCAGAGCCATCACATTTACTCAATTTCATGCCAGAACTCTGCAACAAAAACTTTTCAGTTGGACAAGTCTATTTTTTTTTTCCCTAGACCAGGCGATCTGTTTACTTCTTTGAATCGCAATTTCTCTATTGGTGGCTTATTTCTCCAACATTGTCGGAAGACACTAAGGTCTTTTTTTTTTTTTTTTTTTCTTCCTCCCTACCCCATATTGGAAGATTGTTATGACTGACAAATGTCTTCTAGGAGGTTTGGACTTAGTTCTGGACATTTGCTCCAGGTGCAGTTGGACAGTTATCAAAGGCACTGTTTTCATGTTTTAGCAATTTTCGCATTGAGCAACAGACAGATTTTCTTAGCAGACAATGCTTGGGCTCTGTTGTCACCAGCATCCCACCTCCTTGTTTACATATGCTGCGGGGAATGACCCAGCCTGCAGGTGAATAGAGTTAAAATAGAGGGCAGAGTGGAAGTTCGGTTAGAGAAGAGTTTTGAGGACGTCCAAGCTCGTCTCTTCTCTTGGTAAAACATTTAGCCCACCTACTGATACATGTCCTTATTGTCTTTTGCAGCTTCAATCATCCTTTCTAGCCTTTGGAAATACCCAGTATTTCTTGGTTTGCCTTATGAAAAGAACCTGTCCCTTTGCCCTGACTAATCAATGAAAAAGCTCAATGCCCACATCTAGTATCAGTTTTTGTGATAATCATGTCTTCTGTTTTTTTAACACTTTTTATATGGTTTGTTTCAGTCTTCCCTAATGGACTTGGCAGATGTCTTTAGCTCTCCACCTGCTGCAGCCGCTGCACCAGATCCATGGGGATCAACATCTGCTCCTTCCACAGACCCTTGGGCAGGGGCAGTTACAACGTCTGCAGCACCTGTCGTGTCTGACCCGTGGGGAGGCCCTCCTGTGGCTACAGGTGCAAGCACAGATCCGTGGGGTGCTGGTGCCCAGTCTGCCAGTACAGCTAGTGACCCATGGACAGGGAAGCCAGCTGTTTCTTCCAACGAAGCCAAGTCTGTCTCCGATCCATGGAATCCTGGGGGTAGGTATTTTTTAAACCTTACTAACTGTGTGGAGCAAAGCAGGAAAACAGAAATGTGTTAGCTCTAAATCCCACAAGTTTCTTGCTGTTAAATGAACAGGCGTATTGATAAATGCTGTTGATTTTATTGTTACATAATTTTTTGTGAAAATATGTATGTTTTTAAATTGATAGTTGCTTAAGTCACTTTAGTTTTGTTCTTTTTAAGAGGGTTCTCATTTAATCACTGGGTCCCGGCCTCTGATTACTCGCCAGTGCCTGGTGATTTCCGAGGATCTCAGACAGGGAGAAGAACTGTTTTGGTTTACTAACAGTTCTCCTCCCTGTCAGCTCGGGCACACTGCTTTGGATGGCTGTGCATAGCACAGCCATCCAAAGCAGTGTGATTAATGTGAAGCACACTGACACTGCTCTCTAGTAAAACACTCCCAGCACACAGTTAACCCTTTGATTGTCCCTCATGTTAACCTCTTCCTGTCCAGTGCCAGGACAGTCGGTTTTTTTTTTTTTTTTTTTTTTTTTTTTTTTTTTTTAAGCACTGATTACTGTATTGGTGCCTCCCCCCAGTGTCAGAATGTCTGCCACAGTCCCCACTATAAGTCACTGCATGCTGCCATTACTAGTAAAAAAAGAAAAAATATCCCAGTGTATATATACCTCCCCATTTGTAAACGCTATAACTTTCATGTAATTAATTTACATGTATTGGGATTTGCTTTTAGCAAAGACATGTAGCAGAATACATTTTGGCGTAAATTTATGACGAAGTTTGATTTTTTTTTTTTTTTTTTTCTTTTTTCAATTTTTACTGGACATGTTTAATAGCAAAAAGTCAAAAGTATTGTTTTTTTTTCCTCAAAATTGTCTTTTTATTTTTTTTGGCACAAAAAATAAACGCACAGGATCAGATACCAAAATAAAGCTCAATTTGTGGGAAAAAAGGACCTAAATTTCATTTGGGTGCAACATTGCATGACCGCACAATTGTCCAGTTAAAGTAATACAGCGCCGTAACACAAAAAAATGGCCTGGTCAGGAAGGGGGGGGTAAATCCTCAGGAGGGCAAGTGGTTAAACTAATAACCGTTCACACACATGCAGTCCAGTGCGTTTTTCTGTCTGCATCAAAAACGCATTGATAACAGATTACATGGCTTCCAATGGCATAGTTCATACCAGTGCAGTCAGTTTCAGAAAAAAAAGTAGAACATGCTGTATTTTTCTGCACTGAACTGTACTAGAACGCAGTAAACGCATCTAAAATGCACCTACATGCACAAAAAATGCATTGGAATGCACATGTCCTTATTTAAGTTAAAGAAAAAGAGAGGGGAAAAGTGAACCGGAATGCTTCAAAAACACAGTCAAAACCAGAGTTTCTGTGGTGTGAACCAGCCCTTAGTCTGGTTTTATCTGTTGCAGTGCTTTAATGCACACACTTTATATAGTGTATTCACATATGAATAACCCATTCATTTGAATTTTCCTGGACTGGCTAAGCCACCAAAACACCCCAATAAAGTTGCATGTGCTATTTTTTTTTAATGTAGTGTACCAAAACATGTAGTAGTGTGTTACCATTCTCCTAGATTGTAAGCTCCAAGGAGCAGGGCCCTCCTATCCCGCTTGTATTGAACTGTGTTGTTGCTGTATTTTCTCCTGTTATATTGTAAAGCGCTTAGCAAACTGTTTGGCGCCATATAAATCCTGTATAATAATAATTATAATAATAACAATTGTGGTGCCCTGCAATGCATGTCCATTGGCAAGGTGCTTAGTGGTGCCATTTAAGAATGTGCTACCACAGTGAAACAAAGTGAAAAGCGTCTTAGTGGCGCACCATCAACTCTTCCATTTGTGATCCAATATCACATATAAAATTACATTTTATTGTTCCAATAAAATGATTAAAAAGGTGTGTTACACATATGTTGTAGATCCACCTGTCCCTTTCTAAACTCCATAGATAAAGGTGTTTATGTATCTTCGCATTATAAATCCATAGTCACTTTTGCACAGATAGTTTATTTTAGTGAAGAGGTTTTTCTTTGACTTGTTTCTTGTATCAAGTAGTTTGCTTCCTCAGGGACCGGTGGAACAACATTAGTCTTTTTCAGTTGCTTTATAAACATTACTATATTAGAGACTGCTTACATACATTCCATATGCTGTAGGTTCCATTCTTTATATACAGTATATCAATCATCAGACTTAGGTTTACAGTGATTACTATTAGCTCTGATGCCCATCCCTAGGATTATCCCTACATTTTACCTGTTGTCATATTGGAGTGGTGAGAAGAGGCTGCTTATTGGGAAAAAAAATTAACAATTTGTTTTACATGGTAAAAAGATTGAATCAAAGTTGGTCTAGTCTTTAAATGGATATTAAAGGCAACTAAAAAAAAAAACCAAACATGTCAAGCAGCTTGCTATGGGGGCTTCCGAGTTGTTGCTCTGCATGTCCAATGTACATATTCGCCAGCACACCATGGATCTCCAGTATGGTCCAAAAAAAGATTTTTATTGCAAAAAGATCACATCACAAAAAGTTCATTGTTTCAGAGCTGCGCAGGACTCCATCATGCATGTGATCATCACATGCCTGATAAAGGGGTCCTGTGTGGCTCCAAAATGTTGCACCTTCTTTTGTGATGTGATCTTTTTGCAATAAAAACCTTTTTTGGACCATATTGTAGATCCATGGTGTGCTGGCGAATATGTACGTTTGCCTATGTTTCCAGTCCCAGCTGGTAGTCGCTGCAGCACCCACCATTGATGAGCCATATGTCCAGGAATGTGTGTAAGGGGAATATAGATAAAGCTCTGCATATCCATACACACAATGAGCTGTGGCTCGGCCCTACCCCCTCTCTCTCCTCCTTAGCATCCTAGCTATTGGGAGATTCCCTGGAGAGCCGAGGCTCTCGTGCATATCGCTGGATCGGGATGGGGCTCAGGCAAGTATAAGGGGGGGGGGGGCTGCTGCACACAGACTGTTTTTTACCTTTCTGCATTTAATAATGTTAATTATCTTTTAATTAGATGAATTAGCTTGTAAACTTGTTTTCATAGTAATATGCTATGGTAATTTACCTTTAAGGAATACCCATCTGGTTTCTTCCATATTTATATACCAACATATTGGGTGTTCTGGCTTACATTAAAGGATAAGTATATGCAAAGCTATTTTGGCTGTATTCTTCCTATGGAACACAGGAGTTTAGTTTGTTCTGCGCTCCTGTGGCCTGTTTTCAGCCGACAGTGGGCTAAAACCAGATGTCGGCTGGTGTTACTCAGCTGGTCCAGGCACTGCAAAGATCCCAACTTTATAGTTGGCATCCACCCAGAAGCTGGCTCAGCCTCTCAGTGATCTGCTAAGAGCCTGAGTCTGCTCCTCCTGCACCCTCCACAGCCCAGGGCTCTAGTGAGCACTGGAGGGACAGAGCAGAGAATAGTGACTGACAATCACCGCTCTTGGTTTAGAGTGGAGGGGGAGAACTGAGCAAACAACGGTGTTTGATCACTCAGTGCAGATCCTGCAGGCACCAGCTACAGCTGGCATCGGTGCTACAGCCATCTAGGTGAGTATGATTATTATTTTTTTTTTTTTTTGTATTCCCATACTTCTCTTTTAAAGGGATCCCACCATGTAGCTAGTAAACTTTTATTCACCATTTCCTCCTTATGGGTAATTGTAAAGGTTTGGGGTTAATTTTATTTAGAATTTTTGTTTTCATAAACATGGCAACTTGCTTCTAGCTCTGTTTTTTTCAGTTGAAACCTCAGACTTGGCCCTCTAATATGGGATAGATCACTGCTCTGATGACTCATTTGTATCTTCATTTAGCACAGCTGAAAATAATCATGTTAATGATGTGAAAAGATTAGCACTTCACCTGCAGGCTGGATAGCAAACTGCATAATATTAACATGTAATGCGTCCAGTCACTGGACTAAAAAAAATGTATAGCTGATCATAATAAAGAGAGGAAATATGTACAAAACCACCATAAAGTCCTCTAAACCTCCCCGTACATTCTCTTCAGTGACATGTCCCCCCCCCCATGATAGCCTTAGATTGTGCCACTGGAGGCAGGATACACCACTACTCAGGGTACATGCTTTGCTGTATTGGCTTTTTTTTTCTTTGTTCTGATACTGGAGGTGCTTATTTGATTCTCAGAGGCATCTATAAATTTATTGTAGCTCATTTTTATCGCTCATTTTTTGCTCGGGAATAAAAACAGACCCAAACCGTGGAACAAGTAAGACCGCTGTCTGCACTTTCACTTCAAATTGGTTCTAAACTTGATCCTTTATAGGGGACTTTTTTCATTTTCTATTGAACAGGGAAGGGTTAAACCCACTGCAGATGTCGCTTTGTCTTTTGTGTTCCAATGGAGAGATTTCCATTCACCTCCTGTCCTGTAGACATAACAAAAAGTGAGAGTAGACATATGGAAAGTAAAGGGATCACCCTTGACCGTTATCAACAGAACAGGTATCTCTGCTGGACGATTTTCTGTCTGTTCCTGTTCTGGTGACAGCTAGGACTTCTAGATTTCTCATCACTTTCTCTCCTTTATGGCAATGGTCAGTAGGTAAAAACTAGAGTGAGTCTTCTAGCAGGGACACGGACATTAAAAAAACCTGTTAAGTGTTTTGACTTTAGATACACATTAAAGTGGTTGTAAACTTCAGACATGAAGTATGAACAAAGCAAATCCTTCTATAGTGTGTACTTGTTTTGGGCCATAGCACTAAGTGTCATTTCCATCTGCTACCTTGTTCCACTGCTATCTGCATGGGTCACTTCTCAGGAGTTTTCCTGACACCAAGAGGTAAAAAGGTAACAGGTGGGATCTCCAGCACACCGCCTGTGATTATCAGCCTCAGCTTTGTTCTTGTGTGTTGTGTGAAGGGAGGGGGGTGTCCCTACCCTCCAATCAACTCTAGGAGCTCTTCTCAGTGATGGGTGAGGATTTTGCTTAACAGAAGAGCAGCACAAGGGGCACATTCTACTGGCTGAAAGTTATGCCTTGTGCCAATTTCAGTCATTTATATTTTGGCTGCACTCAGGCTTTAAGGTACACAAAATAATAGTGCGGTATGTGCATGCATAAAAATACACTTGGGGGAATTTAATAAAATTGGAGCGGACAGAATCTGAAACTCCCTTAAATGGCAACTAATCCGTTTCTAACTTTGAAAATGAAAGATGGAAGCTAATTGGTTGCCTTGAGCAGCTGCTCCAGATTCTGTCTGCGCCAGACATAGTAAATGTCCCTCGCTGTACTTTACCTATATGAGCTCTTAAAGACAAGCAGCATGGATCAGCATACTATATATAAGCAATTAAGTTTAGAATAACCGCCTATGCAGAAAAAGGGATTTTTCAATAAACTGCTATTCTGTTGGGCCTCTACATGTGCAAGGCACTAAATATAGCAGGTCAGTCTCCATTGGCAAGGATGTAAAATGAGCTTTCTTATGTCATCCTCCTTGATCAGCCTTCTTGTTGATGAAAAAGGGTGACATGTCTTTATGCCCTGGAAGTAGAAGTCTAAAGTTGCTCTCAGTTGTTGCCAAAATCAATCTGCCAATATTGAGTAAACAGTTCACCATGAACAGTTCAACCCATCCCCTCTCACACAGCTACTCCCTTATCCCCCCTCCCCCTCGACATAACCCGCAGGGACTTCGTCGCTGCTCAAACTCTCTCCAACCCCCTTCACCCTCACTCAGCTACCCCCTCATCACCCCTCTCCCACAGCCCCACCACTGCTCTGACCTCCTCTTCCACCCCACCCTACATTCCTCATACTGAAGCTCCCCCAACACTCCGCACCTTTGACCTTACTATCATCGAGGAAGTCTCCAAGATCCTCTCTGATGCCCGCCTCACCACCAGCCCCCTTGACCTTATCCCCTCACAACTCCTACGACCTCCTTCCCCCTCCATCCTACGCTCCCTCACCCACATCTTCAATCTCTCCCTCTCCGGCACTTTCCCCTCCCCTCTGAAACATGCACACATCACCCCCATACTTAAAAAGCCCTCCCCAATGACCCGAACAACCTCAGACCCATCTCCCTGCTCCCATTTACATCTAAACTCCTCGAGCGCCTAGTCTACACCCGCCTATGCTCTCACCTCAACGACAACAACCTCCTTGATCCCCTACAGTCCGGCTTCCGTCCCTTACACTCCACCGAAACTGCCTTACTCAAACTCTCCAACGACCTGCTAACCGCCAAAGCTAATGGCCACTATTCAGTGCTCCTACTCCTCGACCTCTCTGCGGCCTTCGACACAGTCGACCACCCCCTCCTCCTCAAAAAACTACACTCCCTCGGCCTCAGAGATTCTGCTCTCTCCTGGCTCTCATCCTACCTGTCACAACGCTCCTTCAGCGTTACCTATAATGCTACCACCTCCTCCTCACTCCCCCCTCTGTTGGGGTCCCTCAAGGCTCTGTCCTCGGGCCCCTTCTCTTCTCCATCTATACCTCCTCCCTTGGCCAACTCATACACTCTCACGGCTTCAACTACCACCTCTATGCCGACGACACACAAATCTATCTCTCAACCCCCCCACCTCACCCCCTTGGTCTCAACCCGAATCACACACCTACTGAGCGACATATCAGACTGGATGTCACTCCACTTGCTTAAATTGAACCTCTCCAAAACCGAGTTTCTTGTCTTCCCCCCAGCCCGGACACCACCCCCCATTGATTTCTCCGTCGCATCCAACAACGCTACCATCAAACCCGCCCTGCAGGCCAGAGTACTTGGTGTCATTCTGGACTCCAACCTATCCTTTCAACCCCAAGTCCAATCTCTAACAAACTCGTGCAGACTCCACCTCCGCAACATCGCCAAAATCCGCACGTTCCTAACCCCAGAAACCACTAAACAGCTCATCCACTCTCTCATCGTATCACGACTCGACTACTGCAACTCCCTCCTCACTGGCCTGCCTCGCCGCTGGCTATCCCCGCTTCAGTCGATCCTGAATACGGCTGCCAGACTCACTCACCTTTCCAACCGCTCTGTCTCCGCCACCCCCCTCTGCCAATCCCTCCACTGGCTTCCGATTGCGCAACGGATCAAATTCAAAATCCTAACGCTGACATACAAAGCTGTCCACCATACTGCCCCGAACTACATCACTGACCTAATATCCAAGTACCGCCCAGCACGCACACTCCGCTCCTCACAAGACCTCCTTCTCTCTAGTTCCCTGGTCTCCTCCTCCCATGCCCGCCTCCAGGACTTCTCCAGGGTGTCACCCATCCTCTGGAACTCCCTGCCCCAACCCATCAGATTATCACCTACTCTCCTCTCCTTTAGGCGCACCCTGAAAACCCATCTCTTCAGGGAAGCCTACCCCACCCCCTGCTAACTTGCCGACCTCCTCCACTCTTCCTACCACTCCACCCCCCACAGCTATCTCCTCCTGTGCCACCATCCCCTCCCTCCTAGATTGTAAGCTCGAAAGAGCAGGGCCCTCAATCCCCTCATGTTTTGCATTGTATTGGTATTGTTCTGTCACATGTTCTGTCCCCCTTTGTAATGTACAGCGCTGAGCGAACTATTGGCGCTTTATAAATACTGTATAATAATAATAATGAACTGTGTGTTTTTTGTGTTTTTTTTTTTTTCTCCTTGCATGTCTACTAAGTATGCAGCTGTAACGGTTTTTATTTACAGTCATTCGATGCTCTTATTTTTAAAGGTGCCACAACTACTGGCGGTGTACAGGCCAAAGATCCTTGGTCCTCAAGTCCATCCATGGCAGCTAAACAGACTACAGACCCTTGGGCTCCTGCTACAACATTTTCTGATCCTTGGGGGGGCTCACCTTCTAAACCAAGTACGAATGGGACCATAGGTAGGTTTCCCTGGTGGGTATTGATGGTGAAGGGAAGCTGTTTGCCTGCAAAGGACACATGGCTCTTTTGACTTTGACAATTTTTGTACCTTTTTTTTTTAACTGAGATATAACTTGAAATTGCTGCTGCGGTTTTTTCTCTACATAGCTGAGAAAAAAAATGTTTTAGTTTCAAATGAAAGATTTGTTTGGTAGAATTTTTCCACCCTCAGCAGTTGTCTTCCAGGTAAGTTATGGTAGAAGCTGGTAAAGGTTGTTCCCAAATAATGGCTAGAAGTATTGGTTCGTGCATGGTGGACATCTCTTTTGAATGATAACCAAAGTGTCCATTCTCTGCAGGAGTACAGCAGCACCCCTAGGAGTGCTTAATCTGTAACATGTAATATTTTGACACCATGCAGCTGAGCCCTGCAATACAAATGAATATACTGTACATCTGCTGCAGAAGTGTTATTTGACTTCAGCTAAAGTATAAAGTGTGAACCATGTCCAAGACTAAGACTATAAACATTTTAACCTTGCGTTACTAAGGAATCTAACCTGTTATGTGCAGCCGGCTTTTTTTTTTTTTTTTTTTTTTTTTTTATTAGCTTATTGATAGCAGTATTTTGCCTCATGAACTGACCGCCAACAAAGGTTTAAATCACTCCATATCCTAATATTGAAGTCATCTCTGTAGTTCAGCCATAAAGGAGGTCCAAGATAGACAGATCTCATACAGAGAATGATTATTGCTGAGAGAATGGCCCATCTCTGTGCAAATCATGTGGAACCAAGACCTTGACGTAGTTGACTGATTTGGCTGATATACAGATGCGGTTCATTTACAGTAAAGGCATCTCCACCTTTTTGTTAAGAAAAAAAAACTGCTGGCAAACGTTTTTTGTTTTTTTTTATTTGTTTTTAGATATTTTTCAGTATCTGACAATCTTTACCTATGATAATATTTTTGATCCTGGAGACACTTAATTGTTGACCACTATAAAGTGTAATTGCTGGAGCTGATAGTAGCTGTATTTTAAAGGTTTTGTATAGTCACCCTTAGTGAGAGCGAGAGAACTGTATGTTGTTTAGAATAAAGCCTTTAACAATTCAGAAGGCAAAATTTAATAGCAGGAAAATGTGATGCTACTCTTTGACAGGCTACAATTTTAACTTAATGTAGGTCTTAAGGATATATATAGATATATTATATATATTGGATTGGAGGCTTATAACCTGTTAGGTGTTTTTTGTTTTGTTTTCTTGTCATCCATGCCCCATTGGGGAAAATCCCCTTCACTTCCTCTCCCATAGCCTGAACAGGAAGTCAGAGGAAATGCTTCCAAATTGAGGGAATCCTGCAGTTGTCACCAGAACTGGTGTCCCCATTGGAAAACTTCCCCTTTATTCCTTTCCTGGGGACAACCCAAAATTAGGAATGTTTGATCACTTTCAGCAGTAACATACACATGACAAATAGGGTGAATCTCTGTACAGGGGCACAGACAGCAATAAAAAACTGACGGTGCTCTAATCCCTCTCCATCTATCCAAAACTAAAAATAAGATATTGCCTTTTATTTATACTTATATAATTGCAACATATTGCTTGCTTGTTATTATTGACTAAACACTAACTCTGTAGTACATTGCAGTTTTTTTCTTTAAATGTGATATGTCAATTCCTCAAATGTATATCAAGGCAAAAAAAATACAGGGCATGGGATTGGGTAATTCTTAGACCAATGGTTTCTGTGCCACCTTCAGATTATTGGACAATGGAAAAAATGGTGAAAATCCAGCCCTGCATAACATTTCCTACTACAATCATGCCTTCATTTCTTAATTTTTTTTTGGTGAAGTTAAATAAACTTCCTTCTTTACTGGAACCTACATTGGTTTCTAGCAAGCTTTTTTTTTTTTCCTGCTGTCTGGATGCTTGCCCTAGGGGTCATCTAGCAGCATCTGTCTGTGCATTGAGAGATCGGGAGCGGGGGCAAGGCTACAAGTTGCTATCTAGCACTGGACCCTACTTAAGAGGCTTGTGAGTACAGTGAAGCCTAGTCCGTGAAGACCCCTGCAGGGTAAGCCTGATTATGGAGAGGCAAAACTGGGACCCTGTGGCTTTGCATCTAAAGATGTCTGACCAGTAAGTGCTCTTGACTAAAGAGTGCCAAGGTGTTGTTGCTTTCACTCTTTTGGGGCATGGGGAAGCTGCAACTGTGGTTAGGGCTCTGCTGACCCATGAGATCTAGTTCCACCAGATTTTATTATTGCCCGCAAGGTCTCTCTGCTCAATAAAGCACATGTCCAGGCCCATCTGAAGTTTGCCACTGAACACCTGAATGATGCAGAGGAGGACTGGTTGAAAGTGTTGTGGTCAGATGAGACTAAAATCGAGCTCTTTGGCATCAACTCAACTCGCCGTGTTTGGAGGAGGAATGCTGCCTATGACCCCAAGAACACCATCCATGTGCAAGCAGTTGCATGCAGGTTTCCTGCAGATACTCAGTGTAATCTATGCGCTCGTACCGGCAGACAGTTGTACACTGACAGGAAGACTCACTGAACTACCACAGTGCTCTACGGCAACGTGGTGGTTCATTGAGAACTACAAGTTGACATCCGCAAAGGATGACGAGACTTTTAATTAATCATTCACAGAACTGGTGCGGCTGTGTGGGGGGAGCCTCGTACAGCCATGCTGTTTTCAAAAAGTGACAGCTTGTACGGGGAACATCTCCCAGTACTGTCACAGGGAGAGAGGGCAACGGCAGCAGTGGGAACATGTTACACTAGCTTTTAGGGTGGAACATGTAACGTTTCCAAAAGTGAACTTATCCTTTAATATCCAGCTCTGCCTTGTTAACTGTGTTTCATGTCCCCAGCACTTTCTCCACTTCCATGACATGGTTATGCCTAATGGCTTGATTCAATTTTGATGACTTCTTTTCAACATCTGTTGTCCCCAGTTCCACTGACACACTCCTCCTGTCTCATTTCACTCCCCATCACCTTCACAGTCTGTGATGCTGCTGTCATGTTTCCTACCACCTCCACTGTCCTAGAAAAACCTGCTTCAATTGTGTTGAACTAATTTCTTGGAAATTGATTTTGACCTTTACTCCCCCTCCTTCAGAACTCCTTCTGTGAGGAACCCAGATCCAATGCTGCTCTATAATTACTCAGTTTTGTAAATGGGTGCCAACTACACTGCTCGAAAGAATTTAAAGGCACATTTTTTAAAAACGCATCAGATCTCAATGGGGAAAAATATGCTGGATATCTATACTGATATGGACTGGGTAATGTGTTAGGAACGTAAGGATGCCCCATCATTTGATGGAAATGAAAATTATCAGTCTACAGAGGACTGAATTCAAACACACCCCCCAAACATCAAAGTGAAAAAATGATACAGCAGGCTAGTCCATTTTACAGAAAAGTTATTGCAGCAACTCAAAATGGTAGTTTGTATTGCCCGCACGTGCTTGTATGCGTGCCTGACCACATTGGGGCATGCTCCTAATGAGATGACAGATGGTTAGACAAAAAAATGGAAACCTTACATGATTTGCAGGTTTGAAAGTGATGTAACATATTTTTTATTTTTTTTTTTTGCTCCCACTGTGTGATGGGAGGCCTAGCTAACAGGTGGGAAGCTTCACTTTTGTCATTCACTGCGTGCGCTGCTAGTAATACGGAGCCATGTCATATCTTACTGAGTTTCAAAGAGGGCAAATTGTTGGTGCCCGCTTAGTTGGTGCCTCTGTGAAACTCAATTTATTTGCGGTGTCACGGGGTACAGTATCATAGGTTCTGATGGCATATACAGTTTCCAGGAAAACGTCTGATAAGCATAAGCGCAGTTGATATAGTCAACTGAGCAAAAGAGACAAAAGGACTGTGACCCAGAATAAGAAAACGACTGCGACAAAAGTGACTACAGAGCTCAATCTCAGTCTTTATGGGACTGAGATTGAGCACTTCCCCCAGTCATTCCATCCGCACTCCTCTTACACATACTGCCCCCTGCATACCCTCCGCACTCTTCCTCTGCACATACTGCCCTCTCTCATACCCCTCACACTCCTCTCTTGCACATACTGCAATCTTTTATACTCTCTGCACTCCTCTCCTGCACATATTTCCCTCTCTTATACCCTTCGCATTCCTCTCCTGCACTTGATACCCTCTGCACTCCCACTGCTGTCAATCACAGCCAGTGATCCAATGAGGAGAGAGCAGGGGGTGGGGCTTTATGCATCTTCTGGATGTATGAAGCAGGGCTTGGGAGTGAGCACGCACCAGTGCTCCCATAACAAGCAGCTTGCTGTTGGACTCACTGGTCAAGGCGGAGGCGCCAAGAGTACTAGCAGGAGACCCAAGAAGAAGAGTATCGGAGCTGCTCTGTGCAAAACCATTACACAGAGCAGGTAAGTATATGTTTGTGGGGAAAAAAATGAACCTTTAATATCACAGTGAGACAGTGCTTGAACTTCGTTTACAACTGTTAATAAAATCAGTCAGCCCAGTAGAGACAGGATTAATTATGGTAAATCTCAACCCCCACCCCTCTTCCTAACATTACATAGAAAGGGAAAACAGGTAGTGATCTGATTTGGAAAGGTACAGAAAACGTACAACCTCATTCAACATTAAACATATTTATTGAAATACATCTTCTACATCGATAGTATAAAATCAATACTTGACTAATGTGCCCGAGAGATCACAATTTCCTGTTCCATGACATAATTATCCTCCAGAGGTCAACGCGTTTCACCTGTTGGCTTCTTCAGGACCCCAAACTGGAGATCAAATGCCTTAGCTGAAAGGTGTGTGTGTGTGTGTGTGTGTGTGTGTGTGTGTGTGTGTGTGTGTGTGTGTGTGTATATATACATATATATAACAACCATTAATAATACAAAACATAATGTCTTCTAATCATCATAAACTATCAAAAAACATTACTCTTCACAAACTTACATGCCAACATAGACGGTGATGCGGGGCAACAGCACCCATATAGAGGGTCAAATTGGCCTCGGGTGAGTGTCCACATACAGAACCCCCTCCCCCTTGTCTTCAATCAGATGAAACTATACAGAAGGAATAACAAAAAAAACAATCCCACTAAAGAGATGGAACCAAAAAGGAGAATGGGAGAAAGGAACAGGGAAGAAAAGAATAGAACAAGACAAAGGGGTGTTATATCCCCAACATAGCTAATATTGGATCACTCACTGATAAAAGAAACAATCAGCGTGAACCTCCATATACGAGTATTATCCGTATGCAAACTGTTCCATGAGTACGTTCCAAAGGGCAATCTAAATGCAATGAAAATCAATATGGAAATATCCACATATTTTAAAATCATAACCGTATTCAACAGCCCATTTCCAAACAGTTAACTCGTAATTCCCTCCGCAGGAAAGGTATATGCAGTACTGGACAGATTGTGTAATGAAGGCGCAGTCCTTCCAATATTCAGTATCTTGTATGTGTTAATGCTCCAAGTCCTCTAAATGCGGCTCCTATAATGTATATCCATGCTTCGTAATCCCTAATCACTGCTGGATCTATTGAATACAATCAAATATATCTCGTACCTTTCAGGCCACTATGTCTCATCAAAACACCCGCTGTATGTGTCTCTCCTCAATGGCGCTAATAATGGCATGTGGCGGGGCGCTTAAATGCTGTCATCAATTTGGGACCCGCAATTGCACCTAGATAGACTATAGGGTGGAAACAAACAGCACCTCCCAGCGGTGATCGCGCATGCGCCCAAGCATCAACTCCACCCAAACAGCCAATAGACGGAAGTGCAATCAACCATAGGGCGGAACCTCCCCTCCTAGCTGTGATCGTGCATCACGCATGCGCACGAACATCACTTCCGCTTGAATAACCAGTGGACAGAAGTGCAGCCAACCATAGGGCGGAACCAAACTGTCCCCACGGTGGTCGCGCATGCGTGCGAACATCAATTCAGCCCAGACAACAAGTGGGCAGAAGTACAACAATCTACAACACAATAAGCCAATGCTTATCAATCATATTTCCCATAGATCAAAAAATGTGTTATATCCCAAATGAAGACGGTAAAATGGCAGAGGGCATGAGCCCCCACCCAAGCCATACCATAAATGAATGCCATAGCACACCCAGCACCATCGCGTGACATATGTAGTATTTGTACAGAGAACTATTATACATAACCATGAAAAAAATAAGAACAATTGTATAAGTATAAATCTAGCCCCGTACAATACTCCTCATATGTTGGACATATATTTTCTTTTCTGCATAGATAACATAACTTCATCAATCCAATATAACAGCCTTGACATATCAATATTTATTCTCCAGGAGAGTATACCATAAAATAGAGCGATTCTATTCCTGTCCAATAGCCAATTTCCCCTTTTTTACAGTTGGTTTAGCTGGCTGACTGATTTCCTATAGCTAGTGATCTGATTTGGAAAGGGAACTAATATTTGCACGGCACATTTATATTCTTGGATTGAAACTAGGCACAGAAAGTCAATGGAGGTAAATCATTTGTAGGTGATCTAGTGCTTCAGCAATCGCCCCGTGCACTTTTATAGATTGACCATGTTGTACTCTACTTTTTTTTTTTTTTTTCTTTAACTGCCGCTCTCAGTAACACTAAAAAGGTCTTGTCTGTCCCCCAGACTGTGACTGGACAGTAAAAGAGAAGTAGTTGACTGAGCTCATCCCTCTGCTTACTCTTGATTCACCGCCTATTACCCTGTTTCTTGTTAGCACATGAGCAGTGCAGCACATCTGAATGGCTCATGTGTGCTGCTTCTCCCTCTCCCTTTCTGGACTTTGCTTTACAGGGTGTTGCAACAGGATGGTACCAACTCAAATTCAGGTTTTTGCCTTTGAAAAGAAAAAAAAAAACTTGAATATTGCCTTTCCTAATTTATTACCTATATAACAATTTATGTGAACAAAACTCTTTGTATTTTTTTTTACTTTGTCAACTATTTTCTAAATCTCTAATAAAAATGTATTAAACAAGAAGAAAAAATTTCATGATTAATTTAAAAAATGTAGTTCTGCATTAATTTGTGCCTTTTTGCAATTACCTGGAGTTCAGCTTTGAGTCTGTTTTGAAGAGCTAATAACTTGGTATTCAACCTGGATTCCACCAAGATCATCTGCTAAGGGGTCTGTTGAGGCCTGTGGTACACAGTGAACATCCTAGTTATCTCTAAGTCCTGCCATCAATATGTCATCTAATATATCTGGGTATTCAGTTGTGTTGCTGGTCATTATTTTGCTGTAATAGGGCTCAGGAAATACAATGTAGCGTCCAAAATCCAGCTTTTATTATGAGTTTTGTACTGGCTGCATATACAGCTCAGCTCTGATGCATGAATCCGACACCTTTCCCCAATTTTACCTATTGTCTGGTTTTTGTGAATCTGGTTTTTAACATGTTTGTCTTTATGTATATGCTTGTCTCCGTCTGCTCCTCCTGCCTCCTTAGCCAGTACCAACTTTGACCAGTTCATCAGTTCTGCAGATAAGGATGAGTTTTCGGATTTTGACAACCTGAGGACCACCCTTCCCCAGTCAGGAAGCAGCACAGGTTTGGAAAAGCTCTCTTTCCTGCCTGCTTGCTTACTGTCATTCCATTTGCTTTCTGCTTAATGCTTTATTCGTTTTTTTTTTTTGTTTTTTTTTTTGTCTTATTATTTTGCCTCTGGGCTGCTAGCATGGGTTTTTCCATATCTTTCATGCCTGCATGAGAGCCAATTTGTAACAGTTCAACTTTAAAAGGCTGAATTATAGGAATTCAGCCAGTTTTTAAAATGTTCTGGATTACTAAGGGTGAAGTCCATCAAGGTGCTTGCCTCCTAGTGGACTTATTGCTGTTATTGTACATGTGACAGTTTTGCTGAGAAAAGGGAGTACAGCTGTCACTGCACTCCTGTTGCTCTTACAGGAGAGACCCTGCCTTCTTAAAGTGGTTATAAAGGCTGAAGGTTTTTTATTTTCATGCAGTAAAAAACCTGTGTTCTTCCTCCAGAGCCCCTCTCTTATACTCACCTGAGCCTGATCCTGATACAGTGATGTGCATAGGAGCCTCAGCTGTCCCAGGTCTCTCTCTCTCTCTCTGCATTGGCTAAGAGCAGTAGGAGACATTGGCAATCCCAGCCAGTGAGCCAAGGAGGAGAGGGCTGGGCCGAGCCCTGTTCTTATGGACACATAGACAGGGGCTTGGGAGCGAGCATGCCCCAATGCCTACATAGCACGCCGCTGGCTTTAGGGGGAACTGTTCAGGGGGGGGGGGGGGGTTAGAAGCGAAGGCAGGGAACCCAAGAAGAGGATCGGGGCTGCTCTGTGCAAATTCATTGCACAGAGCAGGTAAGTATAACATATTTAATAAAAAAAAAGACACAAAAAAAACCAAACCTTTAAAATCTGTTTAATAGCAGCTGTGCCCTCCCATCCCCTTTGCTGCCCATTCACAGAAGGCAGGAGGAGGGAAGGGGCTGGCAGAGCCGGTGTAAGAGCTGAGACCAGAACGGGCAGAACTTAAAGTATAGCAATGCTCCGATCGCTCAAGAAAATTTTAAGTAATTAACTCCAGGAGGTGGTGTGCACCTCCTTGGACTTAACCCATAGTAATCCAGAACATTTATAAAGCGAGTTATTTCCTGGAGTTCCACTTTAAATAGGAACACACATTTAATCTAAGGTAATACAGCTCTGCTTACCTGTGTTCATAACAAAAGTATCTGAGTATAATAAGTTTAATGGTACAGGGAATTGTGGACAGTTCTCTAGGCACAGGGTACATTTGTCAGATCTTGTACATTTTATGGCTGATTATAATTGCTGTCCTGGTCTTCTAACACTTTTTGTAAGATATTTAAGGTACTTTTTCATTTCTGTTCTAATGTATTTCATAGCTAACACCGTGCCATTCTTAAAGCATGACTCCAGACAGTTTTTTTTTTTTAAAAAGGTTAGGTTCACCTTTTGAACATGTTACACATGTATTGGGGTGTAACATGTTCAAGTTGACCCCCTCTCCCCCTTTCCTGTGACAGGTGGGTGTTCCTCTCCCCCACAGTCACATTTGCACTCGTAGTCCATTTATACTTCCTACATCTCTGAAACTGAAAACTCGTACAGGGGTACGGGCACAGAGCTGTAGGAACTATCTGCTGCAGCTTGACATTGCACCTGTGATCTACTGATTGCTGACATGCTCTGCAGGCTCCTGTGGGGAAAAAAAAATAATAATAAATGCACTTTTTTTTCTTTTTTACCTGCTAAAAATGTGCATTTATTGTCTTTGGAAAAAAAGTGAACTTGGCCTTTAATTTTGGATAGATTGTGGTTTTTTTTTCTATGTCTTGGGGATTCTTATAATTTTTTTTTTTTAAATTGGATACAATTAGCTGAATTAACATGGGTACAGGTGGTCATAGATGGTTTGAATCTCGGCTGGTTCAGCATGTATGGGCAGGCTGAATGTACCCAGGTTGATAGATCAATCAATCTGGGTACAACCAGCCTACCGGATTTTGCATACGATTTTATTCCGCTAGCAATAATCACTGTATTCTGCCCTCCCCATCCCCCAACCAGGAGCCACACAATGGCTCAGTGGGAAGGATTCTCTTGTCAACACTGTGCGGATGCAGGAAGGAAATTTTGCTCCGTCGATGGCTTGCCTTACACACCAGGAAATTGGTAAAGATAAAAATCTTTCTGGGAAAAGGTGGCATATACTGCAAGCTTTGCACTTTTGGCATGAGAAGCTGGTATTTCCCACTCTAGCAGAAAATACTACTTGCAGGCATTTTGTATAACTGCTGACCAGTCTCTCATCAGCAATGAAATGTTTGACTACTTCTCCATGCAAAATTCCTTCAGTTTCAAGATGTTTGCGGGTTTCCTTGCATGAACTGTGAGCTTCAACCCCTCCCCCCTACAAAAATTCAGTGGGAATCAAGTCAGGGCTTACATTAGGACAGTTCAAAGCCCTCTTTCAGCCATTCCTTAGTGGATTTGCTAGTGGGCTTCCATTTCCGGTTAAATTTCAGCTTTTGGACAGATGACCTCACATTCCTATAAAGCACACACTGATATGAGGTAGAATATATAGGTGACTTGATGGCTAGAATTTGCCCAAACCTTGGAGCAACAAAGCAACCCCAAATCCTATTTCTGCCTTCATTCTTCAGTTGTTAGGAGGTTGTTCTCCTGAAATCCTATCTTCAGTGTGCGTCAGACAAGTCCATTCTTACTGTGACCAAAAAACTGTCTTTGATCAATCTTCTGCACATTGTTCCAGAAGGCCCAATATTTTCCTTTTTATGTTCCATGGCAAACTGTAGTCTTGCCCCAATGTTCTTTTTGGACAGCAAAGGCTTTTTCATAACATACCTCTTATGCAGGTGAAATGGGTACAGTATTTGATTGTAGATTATTCACTTTGACTCCAGTTGTTACAAGAGTTACCTGAACCCTTGGCATAGATATTTTGTCATTCTTGGAAACTTCTTTTAGCATCAAACGGTCATCTTTTGGGTTGAATTTGCTGGGCTTTCCAGTTCTGGATGAGTAGCTGCTGTTTTGAATCTATGCCATTTATAGATTATTTTCCTTAACGTGGAGTAATTGATTTCAGATTTGGTGATCTTTTGCTATCCCTTGTCAGACTCGTCTACAACTTTTTTCTGAGGGCCTTGGAGATCTCTGTTGATCTTGACATAACAACACACATCAGTAGCAAAACACCAGAACCTACACTCACCGTCCACTTTTAGGTACACCTGCTAGTGCCAAGAAAATATCCCCCCCCCACCATTGCACCACCACCACCACCAGCCTGAACTGTTGATGCAAGGCAGATGGATCCATGCTTTCATGTTTTTCATGCCAAATTCTGACCCTACCATCTGAATGTCACAGCAACCAGTCTGCCCATTCCTCTGACATCAGCAAGGCATTTTCTTCCACACAACCGCCGCTCACTGTTTATGTTCTATTTTTTGGACCATTCTCTGTAAACCCTAGAGATGGTTGTGCATTAAACTCCCAGTAGATCAGCAGTTTTTGAAATATTCAGACCAGTTTGTCTGGCACCAACAACCATCCAGTTACTTAAATCACTTAAATCCTATTTCTTCCTCATTCTGATGCTCAGTTTGAACGTTATCAAGTCGCCTTCATCACGTCTACACACTTAAATGCATTGAGTTGCTGCCATGTGATTGGCTGATTAGCAATTTGTGTTTCCAAGCAATTTAACAGGTGTACCTAATAAAGTGGCCGGTGAGTATAGATGTCTGAGGTTTAGATAAAACAGGCTCTCACTAAAGCGATTCTACTAACTGACACCTAAGGTGAAACACCCAATTCTAATAGCATGGGACTGAAGTGGTACTAAATTTAGGTGTGTACTTACTTTCCATATGACAAATCTGCATTTTTGTTCATTTAGATTATGAAAATGTCCCTTTTATGTATCATATGTTCAAGTATATGACTTTTATCTATAAGCACTATTTGAAACAAATGCATGTTCAAATATGTGGAAAAACCATTTCCAATTTTCCATATGTGTGTTTTTTTTTTTTTTTTTTTTTTTCTCATTACTGTATGGTGTGTACAGCATGGTTTTACAAAACAATTGCAAAGCTTTAAACCAGCTCCAAACAGCTTATTGAATCCTATAACTATGATGATAGGATCCCCCCCTTCCCCCATCAACCCTTCACCCTCCTTATCCTGCACATCAGCCCCATCATCTCCATTCTGCCATTGTATGGACCTGTATATTAACCACGTTACCACCTTCTCTCTCTGTTTATGATCTGTACAATACTCTATCTAATGCACCATTATCAAACTCTGCATTATAACCTCCTCATTACCAGCATGTTTTTTGATTTGTAAAAATTTGTGGCAAAAATTCCAAATAGGTGTAGTATAATTTTTTTTTTAAATGCTAGTTATCCCCAAAATAGAGCTCCATCTGTATTTTAAAAAAAGGTATACATTTATTTGGGTACATTGTTGCATTAGAGGCTCAGAAAGCTCAAGTGTAAAATTCTTAGTGCTTTCCTGCACCTGCGGAACCGCAGGTGGTGTATACAAGTGAATGGCTGTGCATCACTGTATACCCATGTCTGTGCATGGGATTATCTCCCAAATTGTGAAGCTGTCACATTTGGGAAAAAAATGCTGTACATACTTTCTCAGTTAAACATGAGTACAGCTGCCTACAGCTATTCACTTGTATGGCCAGCTGTACACACCACCTGCAGCTCCCCGAGTGCTGGATTGAGCACTTTTGAATCTCTAAATGCCTGTGTGCATGAGGCCTTATTGTCAGTTAAACTATTGCAGCATTAGTAACTGAAAAAATGTCCTGATAATGGAGGAGTATTACAGACTGGCACACGAATGGTTTAAATCAGCACACTTTCAGAAGGTTTTTAGTGACCCTTGTGTGTACAAGTTCTAACCATGTTCTATAAGCTTGCATGCCATTACTGTTCTGAAAATCTCCTCTCATCTTCTTAGAAAACCAATCCTTTAGCAACCTGCATGGATTTTATCATTAGT